CCTTTTTAAGTCATGAGGACATTCAGCCAAATCACAATTGTTGTATAATCTCTCAATTTACTTAAAAATTCATTTTATTTATTTTATCTTTTAAATTTTTTAATGGACTTGCTTCTCCATACCTTTCAGAACTGTTACACACTTACCTACCTGCCCATTCTCCTTACTACACAAACTAGCTGTAAGTTCAGAGGGGGACATGTTTTTAGAGAGGTGTGGCAAAAATTGTGGAACTTTTTTTTTTGCCTTTGCATAAAAAACAAGCATCTTCCTTAGCAGCTTTTGAATCTTTACTTAAAACTCGTTTTTATTCTTTGGTTTGCGTCATTTTTTAGATATTATTTTTATGGTTTTATACCTGTTTTTACTTTTTGACTAAATAAATTATTATTTTTTGTATTGCACCATACAGCATGTTGTTCCTTTGAGGAGTTTTAAATGACTACAAAAACAAAATTGTATTGGGTGATCACATTTTAAATWAATTTTCAAAGTTTCAAACTCTCATGACCGTCTTAGCTGATGTGACATCACAGATTTCAAACTTTAAATCTTTTTTTTGTTGTTGTTTTGAATCTAAATTCAAACAGGAGAGGACAGCTCTCAGAAAAGCAGGGATATTTTTTGAGTGACTCAGAAAAGAACATCGCTAACTAATGGAAAGGTTGAACAAAGCCGGAAATGTGCTGCAAGTTTCAGTTCTACAAACCAACTTCCCTAAATCATACGTTAAATAAAAACATTCCCAAACAAAAAGAAGGGAGCAAAATAAAATAAGAGCATCATCGCCACAAAAAAACATCAGTATTACTCACTTCCTGCAGGGTTCACACTTGTTCTTGACTCTGTAGTAGTTCTCTTTACATTCRCACACTGTGTTTCCTTCAGACGTACCTGTGAAAACAAAACTCTTTGTTTAACTGGACAGATAATAATCAAACGTGACTGTGCGGTTGTTTAAAAGTTTAACACTCACATGGTGTTTTTTCTTTTTCGTTTTCCCCACATTTTTGACATTTGAGGCACTCGTATGTCTCTGAGTCAATGTGACTTTTGTAAAAACTCTGCTTACAACGGCAGATAGTGTTTTTGTTCTCTCTACACTTTGATATCTCCTCTTCGTGTCTGGACTCTGTGAACATAAAGAAACTGGGTGAATAAACTTTGACGTGATGTTATTTAAGACAAGAGATTTAGTTGTAAAAGGTTTGTGTTGAACCTCTGCAGGTTCTGCATTTTCTGCAGGTCGGAGCGTGGTTCATCTGGTCATTGAACTGGTTGGGAGGACAACTCTCACAGTCACTCCTCTTGCCTTCACCTGTACACTCAGCTTTAAGCCTAAAACCTAAAAATTATGAACRCCACACATTAATAACAACAAAGTTRAAACGTGCATTTGCTGGACAGCGTCTGTGTGCAAAGTGTACCTGGAGAACATCTGTTGCAACATGTCCCATTTACATTAGGGTAATCTCCAGCTTTACACTGCTTTTCCACTAAATCTGGTTTTGGTGTAGATGCAGAGACATCAACGCACTAAAATGATAAATATGCCACGAGGGTTATTCAGTGTYGGTTAATTCTTTTGTGCTCTTGCAGTGCACTTGAATGCATCATCACCATGAGGAGAAGAAAAACGGCAACGCTCCATCGTCCTCGGTGTCCTTTTCTCGCCATCTTTTACCRATTTTATTTAATCCATCTGTAAAACACAAAAAAATGGAAACAGTGTTTTGCACCTTGAATAATGAAGAAATCTTTAAACAAGCATTAGAACAATATTAAAAATCCAAGCAAAAGCTGCTCATAATCACACAAAAGTTATGAACTCCTTTAATCATGTGAACACTGATTTGAATCTTCTTTACATGCTGCAGTTGCTCTTTTTTTTGTCCTTTGCTACTTTTAGTTACCGTTCTGCTACTTTTAGCTTTTAGTCAARCTTTGATTCTTCTAGTTTCTGGTTAGCCATTTCCTTACTTTTAGCCAACCTTTTGTTATGTCTCCATTTCTCTAGTAAAGCCTGCAGAGTTACCGGTAATCATAAATGTTTTAGGAATCTGCAGAGATAACAGAACTGTACTTTGGCTTGGAAACAAAATGATGCCTGACTAAAGATAGAAACAAAAACAGCCCAGACTTTATGGTCTATTATGTCAGCTAAGGTTGTGCTTTGTGACGTATTTTAGAACTTGTTTTCAACTTTAAAAAAACATAATTCTGAGCCAGTGAGTCAGTTTTTATACTACAGAGGATAATTCGATCATTTTGATAACATGAATTTTACCTGAATGCATAACTCTAACCCCTTATTTATAAYTTCTTCCTCCATCTGAAGGGTCGCGGCAGATCTCATGGTTCTTGCTTGCGTCTGTGTCTATTAGCAAAATATCACATAGACCACTAGAAAGGTTTTAAAGTAACTTGCAGAAAGCATCAGTGATCAAAGCATAAGAACTTWATTTTTTTAAGTCAACTCCATTCAAGATGGTTGCCACAGGCACCCAACTTTAAACTTGGCTTTAATAGAGTCAGCTTTACATAAACAGACCTAACCTTTGGTGTGATAGTAACTGAGACTGATCCCTAAAACATAATTTGAAATGAAAGSTAACCGCTCCATTTCAAATGTTCCCATGACCCATGGAGTCAATCTGTCTGTTAGCAAAATATCTCAAGAACCACTAGAGGGATTTTACTGGGTGAGCTTCTTTGACTGATTAACTTTCTGAGCCAACCAAAACCAAGATGGCCAGCTGTCCTAAGAAAACACAWGAATGGCCTCCTTTCCATGCTTAAAACTTTTACATTATCTGTTGGAGTCAACCCTGTCTGACTGTCAGCAAAATATCTCATGAASCACTGGATGTTTGTAGAAAATAAATAAAGTCACATCTGCAACTTCGGCCAACACAAAAATAACCTAAAATACAAACACAAAAGGCAGTGGGTAACATTCATCCCTTCAAGAAAGCAAGCTTTTAGGTTTCTGCCTCAATGCTGCTGGCTTTCTAGTMTGTTGCATCAAGGATTCTCTGAGTTTCATACTGATTCAGGTTCTAAATGATGAACTTAAAATCCTGATTTACTTCACAATTATTCATTCATTCATTCCAAAAGTCTTTTAAGATGAATTTACTTACTTACTTACTTACTTACTTACTTATTTACTTACTTACTG